ACCTACAAAGGAGTTCTCATAAGACTGACGAATTCTCAAAAGAAACTTTGCAGGAGAGAAGCGACTGGCAAAAAGGACTCGAAGTGATGAAAAGCAAGGACCTGCAACCTAGATGACTCTACCTAGAAAACTATCATTTAGAATTGAAGAGCAGATAAAGTGCTTCCAGACAGGGTAAAGCTCAAGGAGTTCACTGTCACCAAGACATTGTTATATGAAATGTTAAAGGGACTTATCTAAGAAAAAGGAGATCAAAACTATGCACATTAAAACAGCAATAAATTTACAACTATCAACAGTTGAATCTAAAAAACTAAGCAAACCAGTAGAACAGAAACATAATCATAGATAGGGAGATCACTTGGAGGGTTATCAGTTGGGAGGGGGGGAAGGGAGAATGGGGGAAAAGGTACAGGGATTAAGAAGTACAAATTGGTAGGCACAGAATAGACAGGAAATGGAGTAGCTACAGAACTTACCGTATTTTGCCATGTATAATGTGCTCCCATGGTATTATACCCATTATTATATCCATTGTATGCAATCATACCCATGTATACTGTGCATCCTTATTTTTCCCTCAGAATTTTGGGCAAAAAAGCATGCACTAGACACAGCAAAATACGGTATTGTGTCCAAAATACTCCTGGACATGAACTAAGGGGGGGACTGCCGGAGGGAATGGGGGCACCAAATGGCAGGAGGCGAACGGGAATATTGGGACAACTGTAATAGCATAATCAATAAAATATATGTTTAAAAAGTGTCATTTTTTTCAAGACACATGAAGCCTCTTGTCTTCATGAAAATGTGAAGACAAACATTTGAAAGTGCAGCGACGTTGAACCCAAATCAGTGCTTGATAGCATCTTATGAGTGGATAGAAGTCATTTACACTTTTTTCTGTTTTAGTTTAAACAGTTTATTATGCATATTCCTTTTACAGGAATTTTGATCTTTAAAAGAAAACTAATATTGAGCTTGCTGTTCCTCCTACTTTTGGGGTAACCAAGGTAGCAAAACGGCATGGCTTTATTTTCCATCGCCCGACTGGAAAAGGTAGCCGAGCTCCCAGCCAGGTTCCAGGCGCGGGTCCCCAGCCAGCTGCCGTCTGCCATCACCTGCGCGGGTTCAGGGTGATAATCTCATACTCCAGAGTGTGTTCAAGCAATCAGAAAAGAATTCTAAGTACCACTTTCAAAATACTAATTAGCGTTGTCCAAAGCACAGACTCCTCCTCTTGCAATGGCCCCTCTTGGTCGTAAGCGCGCTGTGACTAGCTCGGCGCCGCCCGGATCACCTGAGTAAGCGGTGTCGCCGAATGCGGGTTGCCGGACCATTGTGTCAAAATACACTTTCATTTTGAACTCGTTGTCCTGGCGCGGTGGGTGCCCGTACAACCCAGTCCCCTCAGGGCGCTGGAAGTGCACAGGAGAGACACCAAGAGCTGGGGGAAGCTCGGGCGCAGGGTGCGGTCAGACACGCTCAGGTCCGCATCCCTATTCAGGGACCACGTGGTCAGGATGAGCCTGTCCCCGTGATTTAACCTCAAGTAGCTTCTACCTGCACCTGGATGACATGCAGAAGGACCCACTCCTCCAGGACCTCCTCCTCTTCGGAGGGGCCCACCTGGGACCCTGCCTGAGCCGCTGGGGGCACCTGGAGGGCTCGGTCCAGGGAGAGGCCACGACTGGCCACGCCCGGTGCGGGGGCCTCACCTGCTCGCCCACTGGTCCCCGCAGCGCCAGACGCGAGGCCTGTGCCTTATCGGTGACAGACCAGTCTGTCTCTAAGGTAACTGCCAGGCGGCCCCTAACACACTAAAGCCGCAGGGAGGGCCCTGGGGTCCCCGTCCACTATCCTAACTGCCATCAGTGGGTTCCAGACATGCAGGCGCTCACAAGCTTGCCCCTGGGTTTGTACCTTCAAGTCCGTTTCCTTCGCTGATGTTATCTTTCAAGCAGAGCCGCCTCCGCTCCCGAGGTCGGCACTGAGCCCCCAGAAGGAGGATTTCCTGCTTAGAATGTTTCTTACTTTGCCTAAACTTGGAGGGAAGGACAGTTGCTCTTTGCAGCAAGGACAATGTCTCTCTTTTCGTGACCTCGTATCTTCTTTCCTCATAAGTCAGCATGACTCGTTGTAAAGGACTAAGTGAAAATCCAGAGTCACAGACGATATAAACCAGGATGGCCTGCTCCCCAGACGCCGCAGGTGGCTTCCTCTGGGGAGGACGATGGCTTTTCCAGTGGCTTCGCGCTCATTCACTCTTGGCATGCACCTGCTCTGCTCAGGCCGAGGCACCATGCCTGCCCTCGGGACACGCCGAGAGGCAACAGCAAGCATGCGGATGAGGAGGGGACAGCCATATGGGAGGAAGGAGAGAAGGGGGTCGACCCCGGCTCCAGGAAAGCGGCGGTGGAGGAAGGCCCAAAGGACAGTGTCCAGCAGCCCAGGGCCTCGTCCCGCGGCCTCCGACAGCGAGTTCCAAGGATGGCAGCCTGCAGCCAGGTGCCAGCATCGGCCCCGCCCCGTGGCCTGCAGCGTGGAGCCTCTGAGGGCCAGGCCTGAATCTTATACTCATCCTTTGGCACTGGGGAGGGAAAGGGAGCCCTGCCCGAACCCTATCAAATGCTTTCCCAGAGGAAAAAGGGGTTTGCCCCTAGAAAAGGAGACATGGGAGACGTGTCCAATGAAATAAACCCCTGAGCAACCCCGCATCTCCTAAGCTACAGTTCATTTTCACAAGGTTCTGGTGCTCCAAACCACCAGCGGACACCCTCCCACTGCCCAGCCTCTGTCCCCTGGGCAGGGGACCGTGAGGGGTGGTGCTGAGCGGTGCCCGACCTCGAGCCGGCAGCCCGCCGGCCCCCCGAGGTGGCCTGGAACCCCACCTGGCATGGCCCCGCAGCCTGAAATCGGAGCTGGCGCTGCAGGACCTGTTGTGACCAGGATCTTGTCACAACTGCTGGCGCACACATTTTTGTTAAGGAAGCTTTGTGCATTTCACGCTCCTTGGCCTGTCAACATGCACGTAAGATTTCTCATCCCAGCTCGGAGACTCCAGGGTAGGACACGCCAGGCCCCTGCGTGAGCGCGGGCACCGTAGACAGTTCTGCTCCACCGCCTCCACCGCCTGCCACTCACCACCCCCCCCAACAAAAACAGCAGCAGTTTCAGGGCTCTGAGGAAGGCTGCCCGTCCCCAGCGGCTGCCCCCGACAGCCTGCCTGGAACAGCAGCCCAGGACCCGCCAACTCCGGAGCCCTCTCCACAGCGCCCCCACCGCCCGGCTGCCAAGGAATGCGTTCACCTGTTTGTTTTCTGTTGCTTCTTGCCATTCAGAAGCAAGCAGGAGGTTTGTCCAAGCTGGTCGCCACTGTTTCCCCAGCCTGGCAGAGAGCGAGGGCTGGAAAACCCTGTGTGCGTGATGGGAGCCTGCAATGGGACGAGAGGATAGGAGGGGGGCCGGGCGGAAGGGGAGAAGCAGGGACAGAGCCAGAGAGACAGGCAGTGAACACACGGGTTCCTGCAAATGCACAGACAGCCCTTGGGTTATTGGTATTCTAGGTGCCCGTGTTTTCTAACCGCTTTGATCAACTAATCCAGGCACTTTGATCAAAGTACCATCAAACGGGATTAATTTAAGTACAAAGTGCAGGCTCAACCCTGAGACTCACCCTCCCCGCCCCTCTGCCTCCGGTAAGTAGATGTAAAAGAATGTGAGGGCAGGACGCGGAAGAAACAGGTCCACCAGAGGCGGAGGCCGAGCAGGTCTGTGCCACAGCCGCTCGGCGTGCAGAGGGGACCAGGAGAGGGACGAAGGACCAAGGAGCTCGCGAGACCTTGTCCCTTTCCGTGAAATGAGTCCAGTTTGGGGTAACACCTTAAAAAGGAGATGGGGTGCCTCTCTAGAGTGGTTTAGAGACTGGAGTGGCAGGCACCGGTGGCTGGACCCTTTACTGACCCCACCATTGCAAGGGTCGGGTTGAGTTTGGTGTGTCTGTTTGCTTCTTTGGTTTAATGAGATGCTCGTGACCGGTGAAGGGGACTCAAGTGCAGGTTGGAGAAAGGCGGGTGCTTTTACTAATGAAAACACCTTCTGTTTCCTGGGAGGAGGGGGTCTTGTCCTCCAGTGGGTCACTGTCTTAAAGAGTCTAAAGTCCCCTTGGAAGGCGAGGGGAGCCCCCCCGGGCTGGGAGCGGCCACCTGGCAGTCAGAAGTGATGTGACAGGAAGCACCTGGCGGGGACACCCATGTGGGAGAGAAGGCAGGGCCAGGTCACATGCAGGGCGCATGGTTTGTGCTGATGAGTGTGGAGTGGTCTCCTGAATTCCACATGTTGTCGTCAACAGAGAGCACCATGCACAGGATTTGAGAGCCCTCCAGAGCTCTGGCGTCGCAGACCCCATGATCTGCTTGCTGCCCCTGGCCAGCAGATGTGCTCAAAGTGGGCATTTCCTGAGCTCTCCGCCTCCCGCATTCCTGTCTGCTGGGCTCCGTCCCGCCGGGCAGGATGACGGTTGGGTTTTGCGTCTCCGTGGCCCCCCAGGAATCTCTGCCCTGCAAACACAGGGAGCTTCAGGGGACTGGAGGCGCGGCGTGCAGTGGCCGCGTCTCGTTTGTCCTCTGTCTCAGTGCTTCCCCCCGTCAGCCATCATTGCTCTTTGGAACCTGCTAGAGCTTGTGTTTCCTCCCTGGAACCGTGTGGGATGGGGTGAAGGCGAGCCAGGCGCCCCCTTGGGCAGCCAGCACCCCCTTTCTGTCCGCGTCGGGTCCAGTGCCACAGCCGAGGCCCGTCCCCTGAGCTATGAAACGCGTGTTCAGCCGGGCTGACAGAGGAGGCTGGGCTGCCACTGGCCAGCCCCCCTTGGGAGTCAGCCGGGACACTAGATGTTCTGGACACAGAATACTGCTCCCCAGAACCCAAAACCCAACGCTGCTCCCAGGAAAATCCTAAAGCCACTGGCGGGCGGTGATGGTGCTGCTGTGCTCTTGTTCCAGGTGCCAAGCCCGCCCCTGGGATCTGCTTTGAAAGAGTCAACTCTGCAGGGGACCCTTATGGCAACTGCGGCAAAGACTCCAAGAGCTCCTTCGCCAGATGCGAGATGAGGTGTGGAATCTGTGTCCTGGCCACCATCGCTTTGCGCATCCCACGTGGCAGGGGGCTGGTTCCAACCCCCCCTTGGGGGACTGTCTGTTCTTGCCCTTCCAGAGACGCCAAATGTGGGAAAATCCAGTGTCAAGGGGGTGCCAGCCGACCAGTCATTGGCACCAACGCCGTTTCCATAGAAACGAATATCCCACTGCAGGAAGGAGGGCGGATCCTGTGCCGCGGGACCCACGTGTACTTGGGCGATGACATGCCGGACCCGGGGCTCGTGCTTGCCGGCACCAAGTGTGCAGATGGAAAAGTAAGACCTGAAACTATGATGCTCGCCTGCATCATAACTGTAAGCCGGGGCGGGGCCCACCGAGAAATGTCTTAGGAGCCCAGGAGCCCAGTCGTGAGGTTGCTTTGTTTACCTGAATCCTTGCCCTCTCCCGAATCCAGTCCTTTGCACCTGGAAGGAAACGTCGATAAAAGTTAGATACTGGGCAGACCATCAAGATGCAGAATCGGGAAAATCAGGCTTGTTTTCTCAGCCCTTGAATGTTAACACGTCGCTTCTGTGCTCTGGGTGTCATGAGGGTTTGCAGCCAGGAAATGACTTCGGAAGGAAACTCAGCAGCACGTTGGATTGTTTTTGGAAGCACAGCTTGTTTCTGGCACAGAGTTCTTGGGGTCTTGTTCTCTCCTGGAGGGCGCCCTGGGAAGTCAGGTGTACACACCAATGAGTACGCATGTGTGTGCCACGCAACTACTGAAGCACGTGCTATGTTTTCCTCCTGCAGATTTGCCTCAATCGTCGGTGTCAAAACATCAGTGTCTTTGGCGTCCACGAGTGTGCAATGCGGTGCCACAATAGGGGGGTGAGTAGACCGGACGCCTCCCCCTGGCCCGTCCGTGACAGGTTAGGGGCTCCCTGGTCCACGTGTCAAGTTCTTCCCAATCCTTGACTTTTTCAAAACAGAGCAGCATCTCCTTCATATAGTCTTCTAAAAAAACATTGATTTTCTTCGACCTTTACGTGGCATAACAAATGTGATTTTTATTTAACAAAAATAATCAGACTAAGCGGTAATTAACTTTCAAATTAACATGCTGTGATTTTTTTAAAAAAAAAAAGACTGTCATTTTCAAAGTAATTGTAAAAGCAACCATTCTTTACGAAGAGTTTTGCAATAATATTTCAAACAGAGCTGCTCTTTTTACAACCAAGATTCAGAATATGTGTCTGCACTGAAATACTTCCGAAAGGAATTAAAACAAAGAAGTCAATACTGACCACATGTTCTTGAAGCCCCATGCATTGGGTTTCAGCCCCAGCAGGCTGTTATTTTAGTTCAGAAAACCTTTCGGGGAGGAGAGGACTCTAACTGTCTAAAACATAATTTATTTGCCTGATGGGCTTAATTATTTCCAATGAAACTATATTAATCTTGATTTGCCACGCCAGTGGTTCATTCGTTTTTCTGAAACCTTGTCTACAGAAATCATTCTCCAAATTCTATTTTTAAAACCTGCAGACACTCGCCAGTGATTCTAACCTAGAATTATGGGATTTTCGGAAAGTTACTCTTGTGCTGTAGCCGTGAGGGATGACAGGGCCGCCCCCTCAGGAGGGGCGCCGGCGGTAGGAGACGGGCCTTCCCCCGCCTTCGCTGGGCCGCAGACCCCTTCCGAACGGCTGGGCGGGAGGCCTCAGGCAGCCTTATCGCTTCACTGAAGAGGAAGCCGGGGCTCACGTCAGGGCAGGGACTTGTCTGAGGTCACTTTACCCACTGGCGGCAAGGCTGGGGCGGGGACCCTGGACCTGTCGCTCTCCAACATTCCTGGGGTCCCGTCCACGCGCTGGAGAGGAAAGGCCCACATTCTCCGGGTCGGCGGGGCCACTGCCAGGACTTGGCAATGAGGAGCTTGACCGCAGCCCCCCCTGGCGGGCCAGGCCCCCAGCAGCCCCTGCAGTGGGGTGCAGGGGCCGCAGCCTCTCCGCCGCCAGCTGCAAGGCGCACGAGGCCGCACGCCGCAGCAGGAGGCCGCGCGGGCCGAGGGGCAGCGCCGGGGCCGGGGCCCGGGGCCCGGGGCCAGGGGGCGGGACACCGGCAGCATCTCTGAGGAGGCAGGCCAGGCGCCCCGACTCAGCATAGGCTGTGCCACTGGTCATTAGTTCTGCGTAGCTCCGGCTGCATAAGAAGCATATGCCCCCTCTGCCCACAGGCTGTCCTGACGTGCGGTCTCATTTGAAGCACCTGAGGCAGGCAGCTGATTGATCAAAAAAAACAAGTCGGTGAAAGCAGAGAGAGACCACAGATGAGATATAGACTCCAAACATTCTCTTCTGCCTTAAAATACAAAAGCGTGACCCGGCCCCATGCGGCGGCATCCAACGCCGGGCTGAGGCCCGTGGGTGGCCGGGGGGACCGCCGCTCCGCACTGGCTGCCTCGCGGAGACCAGCCGAGCGCGCCAGCTGCGACGGGGGGCTTGTTTCTCTACGCGGAAGGGCAACTCAGACGCAGGAGCCACCTGCGTCCCGAAGCCGCCCTGTCTCCCGCAGCCTCCCCGTCGTTTTGCCGGTGCCCAGCCCCCTTTGTGACTCGACTTCACGCAAGGCTGCCAAGGCACGGCCCCCTTTTCACAGAAACAGTGCCGTCTTCACACTCAGATGCCAGTGGTTTGCGTAGTAGGTCAGTAGTTACGTGTCGCAACAGCAAGGGGAACGGTGACCCCAGTAGGGGCACAGCTGCCGGCTGTCGCCATGGTAACCCGGTGAGCCGGAGCCAGCCAGCCCAGGGAGGGCTCTAGCATCAAGTTAGGGTCCTTGTTCAGGGCCTCCTCCTGCCCTCTTGGGGGCGCCTTCTCTGTCACTGCAGAGCCATCCTCTTGTTCCAGGGGGCAGTAGTCTTTGTCGGCTGTGCGCACGGCGCCAACCCTGCAGGAAACGGCCACCGGGAGCCTCTGCGAGGAGGAAGCAGACCTTTCGGGCAGGAGACAGGGAGCAGGCTTAGAGGGCGTGTCCCCTGGGCCCCGCTGTGGGCCTGCTCTGGGACCCTGGCCACCCAGCCTCCCGTCAGAAGGTGCCCAGAGGTGGTCAGCCGTGCGACACCCGAGGGCTCGGACGCCGTGTCCCGACACAGGGCTCCTCCTCACCACTGAGAAGCCTCACATCACAGCCAGATGGCGGGGGCGAGTGTTCCTGGATTTAAGAAGGGGGACGCAGGGATGGAGGAGCAGAGGGAGCGGGTGGAGATGCCCTGCCTGCCATCACGACGCCCTGGACGGCTGCTAACAGGCAGGCCACGTGACGCCTGCAGGTGACACACGCAGCCTCAGGCTCTGGTCTCCAGGGTGGCTGCGTTTGGGCTTGCTCTCACAGTGACGTCTGCTGAGTCCGGCCCCGTGGGTGCTGATGGGGGCTCTGGCCGCGGCGCCTCTGCCCCAGGGGGATGGGGCGCCCTAACTCTGCTTCCCTCTCGTGCCCTTCTCCCCGCTGCCCTGAAAGGTATGTAACAACAGGAAGAACTGCCACTGCGAGGCCCACTGGGCACCCCCCTTCTGTGACAAGTTTGGCTTTGGAGGAAGCACAGACAGCGGCCCCACCCGGCAAGCAGGTTGGTGGGGACAGAACCCCCAGGGGAGGGGTCACTGAGCTCCTGGGGGGCAGTGGGAAGCCAGGGCGGTGGGGGGGGTGGTCTTTCCAAGGGAGCCAGGGTGGCTTGTGGCTGTCGGGATAGACCCCCCGGAGCAGGACACAGGTGGGGACCCCACGTGGGCCCGACGCAGCCTGAGGTCTCTCTCTGTTCCCAATTTCTCCGTTGTCTTCCCTGGTCTTTTTGGAGACCGCTCAGGCTGCTTTGGCTGGGGGCGGGGGGTGGCTGAGTTTGCCAGTTTTTAGCCTGTGACACTTTTCTTAACTGAGGTCCCTTGTACAGCAGAGTGCCACATGGGCGTGCTCCTCCTTGTCCGATCAAAGGCCTTGAAGGCCAGCCTCTGTGAGCCAGGGCCAAGGGGTGGGAAGTTCACTGCCTTTTAAACCTCTCACTAGAAAAACACCCTCCTCTTCAGAAAGGGGATGCGCCCGGCAGTGGCGGCGGCAACCGCCTTATTGACCGAGCGGTACCTCGGTGCAGGTTCCACACTCGGCATTTCATATGCATTGCCTCAGCCGATCCTCGCACGATTCTGGAGTCGGTATTGTTCTCTTCATGTATAAAGGACCAGGGGCGTTAAGTGACCTGCCCAGAGACACCCAGCTAAGACTGGGACGCAGGTCCGTCTACCCCCGAAGACGCTCCTGGTCACGGCTGTGCCTGAACCCTCTGTCGTCTTCTCTTCGGGTGACATTGAGAAAGGTCCCCTCGCACAGCACCCTTTCCTCTCGGCTCCAGCGGGCAGTTAAGGGGCGAGTCTGAGCGAGGTCCCTTTCACAGTGAAAGAGGTGAGACAACAAGGGGCGGAGGGCTGGCCCAGCGCCGCCGGAGACCCGGGAGCAGGGGGCGCTCACCCAGCCCCCGTGCATCGCCCCCGGCGCTCACCTGAGCCCCCGACTCGCACACGGTGGCCGGTGATGCTGCAAAGGGCGTCACCCATCCCCAAAGCGGGTTGAATCTGTGGCTGTGCCATCGTCTCCATGGCAACAGACACAACACTGCTCCGCAGGCCAAGTGGCGAGCACAGCTCTCGGGAGGGAAGGCCCCCCCCACAGGCACATCTGTAGAACGGCGACCTGAGAAAGGACAGAGAGCTCCCGGTCATCCTCTGTGACAGTGGACACGCCTCCGCACCGCGCCGAGAGAGCTCCTGGTGACCGCCTCTCGGGCCGGGCCCCGCAGCAGGGAGAAGAGGGGCCAGGGAGCCCCGGCCCCTAGCGAGCATCCCCTCCGGGGCAGGAAGGAGGCCCAGCGTCCTTCCCTCACTGACGTCTCAGCCTGATGGCTGGTCTCTTGCTGCACCTTCATTTTCTAACATGACTTGAAGCATTTGTTGTAGCAAAATAGCAGGGTTTCCGCGCTGATGCAGAGGGGCCCTGCCCCCTCCATCCGCACTCCGGTCACCGACGGCACTGGGGGGGCTCGGAGAAGGGGCAGGGGGGCAGCGCGCGCTGGGCCACTCAGGGTGTGGACGAGCAGCTCGGGTTTGGGGGTTCCCACGGTCACCGACTCCCCATCGCTGCGGGTAAGAGGAGGCAAAAAGTGAAAACAGGATTGCGGACCCACCTGCCACCGCCCTCGCTTTGTAAGAGACCGTGCGTGTAAACACCTCCCCCGCATGCCTGGGGGGGGAGACTTCCGTGACATGCCAGCCCACAGCTGAGGCAGTGCCGCGCCCCGCGCCTCGCTGTCCCCGGGGCCACTGCGGCCGTTGTCCAGCCGACGTCACCCCGTCGTTCACTTCCCAGGCACCTGCCTCCTGCCAGCGGCTCCTCTGGGTCCCACAGCGACATTGAGCACAAGGTGGCAGGAGGGCACTGTGACAGGAGGGGTGACAGCGAAACTTAGGGGCAAAGGACAGGGACGCACCGGGCATGACTGGCAGGGCGCAGGGCTCGCGCTGGGCGAGGGGGCGAGGGGGCAGCGGTCGGCGGGGAGAAGCCACCGCGCTGCCTGGGGCTGTGCCTGGAGCAGCTCCATGCACCGCGCAGCCGGCTCGGGGGACAGGCCACCTGGGGGCGCGCCGAGTCCCGTTTGGGGCCCAGGGAACGTTAGACTGGATAAGCCGATCGGTGCACAGCTCAGGGATGCATTTCAAGGGACTGGAAACCGTGACGCCAGGCCCCAGCCACCCCCTTTCTAATCAGCTTTGTTAAGAGGCGACAGGACTCGAGCCAGAGCCCCCGCGATCACCAGTGCGCCGTCCGCAAAGAGGACGCGTTAGCCAGGGAACCAGAAGCAGGACCTCTCCCGTAACATGGACGCGTGGATCGAGACTGTCACGTGTCGATGGTCACGTGTGGGCTACGGCACGTCCCTGGCAGGACCTGTCAGTTGGAGCTGACGTCCAGAGGCGGGGAGGGTGTGAAGACCTGCCCCCCGCGGGAGCCATGTCTCTCTGGTCTGCAGCCAGCTGGACGCCCCGCACACGGAGGGATGGGCAGCCTGGGTGACCGAAGCAGCAGCCTAGAAGGACGGCCATGCACCTACTACGTGCAGCCCACCCTCACCGTCGCTGGCGGGAGAACAGGGACCAACGCACGAGCCCCGCGCGCTCAGGAGGTTCAATTCAGTTGAAATGCAGACAAAACTCCTCTAACTGCGGCCCTGAGGGTCCTCCCCGGACCCCCTGTGCCGCCGCCGGCGGAGACCAACCGTGTGCTGGCACCTTCCCCTCCCTGCCGCGCCTGCGGGGGCCGTAGACTCTGTACTAAGCAAAATGGGTCAAATCACACAGCAGGGGGTGTTTCCATGGAGGAGGTGAACTGCATCCTGCCAGGAAAAGGGTTCACCCCCACACGCTGGGCTTCGCCTCCCTGGAACGAAACAAACCCTGTGGGCATCTCCCTTAGCTGTGAGTTGGCTTTTTCTTTTTCCTTTCTGCTCCTGACTTGACCATGTCCAGAAACAAGGAGGCCCGGTCCAAAGAAATGTGAAAATAAAATATAAACCAGACTCCAAGGCCGAAGAATGAGAGGAGGAAGGAGCCGGGTTGCGCAGTGTGATGGGGAAGATGCGGTTCGGGGGCCACTGCGGCACTGAGGGCGCCTTGACCGTGGGTCCCCGTGGCCACCGTTCCCGCAGTTCCCAGGCTGCGGGGGCCTGAGTGGCCAGGGCTGCGGCCCCGCCTCCCAGGGTGGTCCGAAGTGAGCGACAGCCACACAGACGCGGCCTCTGGGCACCGTGCAGGGCTCCTCCGCTCTCTCGGTCGCTGCCCCTCCAGAGTCCGCGTGGCCGCAGACGTCAGGGTGTGAAACCTGCCTGATCCCGCTCTCACTGGCTCCTTCCCTGAGTGTGACGTGTCTCGTTTCAGATAACCGAGGTTTAACCGTGGCGATCCTGGTGGCCGTCCTGTGCCTCCTCACGGCCGGATCTGCAGTTTATCTCAAAAGGAAGCCCTTGATACGACTGCTGTTCACAGACAAGAAAACCACCATTGAGAAGCTAAGGTGCCTGGGTGTGGGTCGTCTTTCCAGACAGGGCGGCTCCCTCAGCAGGGAGGGGGCAGGCTTTCCGGCGCGCACAGCAGGTTTGGGGTTCTGTGTTCACGTTTCTGCCAGGCCAGCGGCTCCGGTCACGCCCCCTTCGCACTGTTTGTTGCTTGCTTACTACATGTGACCCTGGCGTTAGGCATTTCTGTAAGATGCAGGCTGTTGAGATGTTCTCACTGGGCTTTTGATTCCAGGGTGTTCGGTCAGCGTTGCTGGAACGCCGCCTTTACACGAAGGTGTCACTGAGCCTGCAAGAACTCATTTAACAGAACAGTGGCTTTGGGGAGAAAAAAAATTAGTATTTGTTTTAATCTTGTGAGAGTGTCAGCTGATTTTACCTTTGCATGTTTAACCCCACAGAGTTTTAAAAAATTAGTAAACGGGCTTTTTTTTTTTAGAGTGATAGTGAAAACGATAGAAAAAACTCAGTCCACCGCAGGGAGCGCCCTCGGTGAGCACGTGGGTTGCGTTGCAGGTGCGTGCGCCCTTCCCGGCCCTCCGGCGGCTCCCAGCCCAGCCAGGCTCCCCTCCCCCACCTGAGCAAAGGCTTGATGCGGAAGCCGGCGCGCCCGGACCCCACCAAGGTAGGTCCATGTGCACGCGAGGACGCGGGCTTGGCTCCCGTGGGGCAGAACCTGCAGCCCACCTGTAGCACGTGGAGCGGCGCCCTCGGTTCCCGAGGTGGTGGCCGAGGCTGGCAGGAGGCCGCAGTGCCCCGTGGCCGCTCCACGAGGTCCTGCGGGGGCACGCAGCGTCCCCTGCGTGACATCGTGGGAGATTGCTGTGAGCCACGGTCTATCCAGTCACCTAGACCAGCCAGCCCCCCAGGAGGCCCACGGGGTCTGCCACCCAAGCAGGTTCCTGTCTCCGGGCCCCTCCTGTGGTCTCAGGTGCCACCTGCTGGGTCAGGTGAGCTTCCTTGGCCCACTGTCACCCCCAGGGAATTTCTGAGAGTCACACAGCCCTGGGCAGGGGAAGCTCTGTCCACTCTATGGCTTCGAGGAGCTGGACCCTTAACCCTAAGTACCTCCTGGCTCCATATTGTCGGGTAACTTTCCTGCTACCCTGATGAACCATTACTTGAGTTCACTCTGATACATCATTTCTCCACCAAGGGGTTTGATGTATCCATAACAATAAACACATAAATTCTTTAAAAAAAAAAAAGATTCCTTGACAATGGGACTCCTTCAACAGGAGTCCACGTTGTAGCAGCAAGCAGTGTTGGTGCAGGAAAATCATTGTGGCTTATTTAGCGGGCAGCAAACGATTTTATCTCCCTTGATCTAAAAGTGGAGAGGTCGGGGCTCCATAGAGGAGGCTGCCCTCCCTGACGAGCATAACCACCGCTCACCCCCAAGCGTAGACCTAGAGCCAGAGCAGCCTTATTTCTGAGAGCCAGAAACGGGAGGGGACCTGAACAGGCATCCATCGGTAATAAAAGGGTAAACAGGCTTTGGCTCGTTTACATGGCGGACTTGCCGCTGCTACTCAGCAGTAAGAAGGATGAGCCACGGACACGCACCACATCGCGATGAGCCGCGGAATAATGACGCCGCGTGAAAGAAGCCAGACAGGAAGGAGTAGGTGCTCTGTGGTGCCATTTACGTGAAATTCCAGCAAATGCATGCTCATTAATAGTGACAGAAAGCAGGCCCGCAGTTACAGGGAAGGGGTGGGGGGACCGGAAGGGTGGCAGGAATCTCACTGGGATGACGGATAAGTTCATTATCTTGCTTATTGTGATGGTTTCATGGGTGTGGACATATGTTGGAATTGACCAAACGGCACATTTTAAATATATGCCATTAATCACGTCAAGTATACCTCAGGAAATCTGTTTTTAGACAGAGAGGAAGAAAAGAGGGAGGGAGGGAGGGCGGGGGCCGGGGGCACAAGCTCCCGCTGCCTCTGCCCTCGCCTGTCACTGAGGCCAGGGCGCTGCAGAGACCCGCCAGCTGTGGCCCCCAGCCCCCGCGCTGGCTTCCGAGCCCCCGCTCTCCTCCGGGAGCCGCCCTGGGCTCTCTCCCAGCCTGTGCGCCCGCCCTGAGCGGTGTCCTGTTTTCACAGCCCCTTTGCCGCTCCCTTCAGATCTGGTCTGTGTCTCCGCGCTTGGCACTTGCTCAGGTGTCTTGAACCTATTTGTTAATGACCGAAACCAGCGTTTTGAAATCCAAATAAAACTGAGCCCTCTCTTCCCGGTTGGGGAAGGTGTGGGGCACTTCCCTTAGAATTTGCAGTTTAAGGAAACAACAATAGGTTCCCTTTGGTGCACCTCCCGGACGTCCATCCCTCGCTCCCCCCGCAGCGGCGGGCCCATCGGCACCCTGAGGAAGCACATGTACTTGTGAGGCCCACGTATCAGGTCTTTCTGCTTTGACCCTGCAGGACAATCCCAAGAGGCTGCCCCCGTGTCAGAGCGTGGACATCAGCCGACCCCTCAACGCCCTCGACCTCCCTCGGCCCAGGTCGCCTCAGCGCGTGCTCCCGACCCTCCACCAGGCGCCCCGCGCGCCCAGCGTCCCCGCCAGACCCCTGCCGGCCGCCCCTGCGCCCAGGCCGGCCCAGGTAGGCCCTCGGCTGCTACGGGGACGGGCGCAGCTCAGGCCCCGCCTCTGAGACGTGCTGACGCCCGAGCTCGGCCGAGCCGCTTTCCTTCCCGGCCCGTGGGCTCCGCGGGCGGTCCGGTGGGGTGACCCGCGTGCGGCGTTGCGTGCAGTGCTTGGTGTGCAGCGGCGATGGTGCGACATTGTTTAGTTGCTCTTAGGAGCATTTTTTTCATGAGAGCAGTGAGGGTGCCCGTGCAGTGGTTGTCCTGACCGTGACACTTTTGAGACGTGCGGGGACACTGTTCATTAGGCCTGGACAACAGGGCAGAGATGGTCACTCTGGGAATAGCAATGGGAGTGCTTTGTGGCTGTCTGTCCTGTTCCAAATTATTTACAGAAATTTTACCACCTTTCGAGTTTCTCTATCCCAGACGCAGTGCTGTATTAGGCTCTTTCTGTGTATCGTCTCATTTTCACGCTGCGTTTGGGAACAACTGTTTCTGTGGGTTATGACCATGACCACGAATGACATCATCCACAATAGGGGCCTTGGGGCGCGGAGGACAAACACGCCAGTGAAAAGCACAGAGGTCATCGCTGGGAACTTTTCACGATGATCGGTTACATCTTCTTCTAGTAATTGTGTATCTATCTATAATTAAGTGTATTTTAAAAACATAATTTAGATTATTTTATATGGACATGGCTTTATATACTACTTCTTTTGCCTTAAAAGCATTGCACATTTACCACAGGATTAAACATTCTTTAAAAAGTTATCCTAAGGATAACACTCTACGTGCCCATGGAATATGTTTTTAAGTGCTTGACAATTAGTGGCTGCGTTTGGTCATCTCTTCAGTTTTGCTATTATAAATAGCTCTGAAATAAAGGTCTAGACAGATACATTTTGGACCCCTTTATTCCCTTAGGAGAGATTCCTAAAAGTGAAACTATTGGATTGAGAAGTGATATAACCATTTTAAATATTTTTACGGGACTTTTATATTCATTTATATCCCATTATTATAGAGCACCTGTCCCAATATGTCTCACTGTAACTTTGCTAGTACCAAGTATTTCAAAGCCTTGCCAATATGACCTATAGAACAAAATATCTCTTTTTTTCTGTCTAGTGGTTTCATGGTTACTGAAAGGGGTTGTTGAAGTTCCCAACTGTAAATGTGTCTCCTTTTCGTCCATGGGATTTTTCTTCATGTATTTTGCAGCTCAGTTGCTTGTGATACACATGGTTAGGTGGGGTGTCTTCTGGGTGAACTGGCCGTTTTATTGCTGTGTAAATCCCTCTTTAGCTCCGGTACTATTCTCTGTTCTACAATGTGCTTTATTTGATACTAATGCATCTACTTTGATTAGTGTTTACAAGGCATGGCTTTCTTCACCTTTCTTACTTTTAACGTACCTATGTCATCTTTGAAATGGTTCCTCGGAGGCAGCAGATAGTTGGGTTGTATATTTTTCATCATCCTGCCAGTCACTATCTTTGAATAGGTGCATTTAGACTATTTACATTTCATGCAGTTATTGATATGTTACCATGTATGTCTACTGTTTCATTATGGGTTTGCTTGCTCCTTATTTTTGTCTTAGTGTGCGCCTCTTCCCTGAACTCCTGCGGGTTCGTTGAGCACTTTTTAGTGTTCCATGATGACTTATGTGCAGGCTCTCTGAGTGTAGGTCTTTATGTAGTCTGTGCAAGGTTGTTCAGGGGCAGGGTTCCTCATCCTCAGCCCAGGCATTACGGCGCGCTGGCCCGGGTGAGCCTTGGCCATGCGGGACGGACCTGCTGCCTCACAGAGTGCTGGCCCGCAGCTCGGTTCCCACCAGTTAGACAGAGGAGCCCAGGGAGTCCTGCCTCCCAGCACTGCCAGATATCTTCCAGGGCTGAAAACTGCTGCTCTAAAGATTACAACGTGTGTGCATAATTTATCACAGTCTCCTGGTATCAATATTTTATCACGTCAAGTCGAATATAAAATTTTTACCACTTTTCATAAAGGTTCTGCCTTTAGGATACAGACATCTTAAATATTACCATTTCGCACATAAATATTACCATTATGCTCATATATACTCGCTTTCTACTCTCCCTTCACTCCTGATGTTCCAAGTTTCTTTCTTTTAACCTGTTACTTCTCCTTTGTGTCTGAAAACTTTCTGTAGCACTTTGGGTCCAGCAGACTTGCTGCTGGCGGCCAGCCCTCTTGGTTGCCCTTCCTCTGAACGGGTCTTCATTTCATCTTTATTTCTGAGGGCCGCCTTCACCGGGTATAGAACTCTCGGTTGACTGTGTTCTTGTTTCACATTCAGAAGTGTCGCTGCACTTCCTTCTGGCCTCCATGGTGATGCAGAATCGGCGGGAAGCTCTGCCCACGGCCCCTCTGCCGGGGAAGGGGTGTGGCTGGCCAGCGCAGGAGGAAGGGCACTGGGGCCCTGGGGCCCGGGGAGGAGGAGGAGAAGGAGAAGGAGGAGGAGAAGGAGGAGGAAAAGGAGGAGGGAGAGGCGGAGGGGCGTGGCTTTTCTCTGCTCTTCGCTGGCAGGTGGAGTGAGGTCAGGTGTGGTCCAAATGTTTCTCATTGACTGGGTCGCTTTTCCCCGGGTCTTTTGCCCGGAAATGCCAGGCCTGCCTTGGGCCTTTTCTCGGTCTGGCACCGTCGGCATTTCCAGGCTGCGGGGCCTCTCCCGAGCCCAGGTCAAGATATAAAAAAGGCAAAAACAAAACAACGAGCACTCACTCCTGGGCAGTTCCTTGAGTTCTGAGGTCCACTTACCTTCCATAAACTCTCAGAGGCTCTGTCAGCTGCTTTATGGGCTTTCCCTAGACTCTCTTGTTGTAATTAGCAGGAGAAATGGGGTGAAATGTGCTTCTTCTATCTTTTCTAGACCTCATTTCTTTTTGTATTTCTTTGATTACTGGTACCCTTGAACCGCTTTTTATATATCTATTACCAATGATTTGCTGGTAAATTGGCTGTCAGAAAAAGCGCCCTGATTTATAGGTGGTTTCTCAGCTGTAAAAACTTCCAACGTGGCCCGTTTCAGGCTATTAATGTGATCCCGCTGGCGAGGAGTAGAGACGCGGCTGCTGGAAACAGGCCGGCCGCTCCAGGGCACAGCCACCGAGCACGCCATTTGCTCTGTGACTTGTCTGTGCTTATCCTTGGCCCATATTTTCTGTTTGAGAGGCACAGTTTTCTCCCTGCTTTGTAAGAGTTTGTTTTCTTAATAGATTAAGAACATGGCCCCGGCTGGTGGGGCTCGGTGGACTGAGTGCCGGCCTGCAAACCGAAGGGTCATCGATACAAATCCCAGTCAGGGCACAGGCCTGGGTTGCAGGGCAGGTCTCCAGTTAGGGATGTGTGAGAGGCAACCACACACGGATGTTTCTCTCCCTCTCTTTCTCCCTTCCCCTTTCTCGAAAAATAAATAAATAAAATATTTTTTTTAAATATTTACCCTTTCCCACTAATTTATTGTAAACACGTTCCCTAATTTGTTTGTCTTTTCGTTTTCTCCACGCTACTCTTCGGTAGAAGAGGAGTTCCAGTTTCGAATAGTGTATTTTTTGTTTTGTGCATCCTCCCGCTCCTTTTGCGCTTGCAAAGTCCCCGCCCCTTTTGGCATCGGGACCCACCGGTGGTCTCTTCTGTTTCTCTCATTGGCTGTTGGCAGCCCTTTCACGTGCATGTCCCTAACCCGTGTGGGTTTACACTGGTGGAAGGCAGTGGGCACACCAGCGACTTCTCTGGGTGAGGCCCCTGGGAGTCTGACGAAGGTTACGAACGGGGGAAAACGCACCAGCTCTCACTGTTTTGCACGCACGTCTCGGGTGTCCACGGAGCCGGAAGCCCCTTCCCTGTGAGTTGGCTCATCCTGGGGATTTTTGTGTCTCCCTTCACGCGTCATGCTCCCTGTCAAACTGGGGGGGGGGGGGGGTGTCCCTGACGACCACGTGATCTGCGATATCGACTTGCTGGTGCCGTGTTTTCCACCGGCGGTTGACGTCCACGGAAGCGACTCCGCAAGAGTTCGGCTAAAGCCAGCCCCGAGCAAGGCCTTCATTCTGTTTTAGGAAACTGAGGGAATGTTAGCCTTTAACCATGAGCAACCAAAAAGTCTGCCCTTCTCACTGCAGGCCCGTGTCTGCCTGCAGCTTTCCCGAAACACCTGACGTAGATTAAGCTCGCGCTCCCCCCCGCCCCCCAGTCACACCTGGGGGACGGGAGTTAACTCTGCGCAGGTGTGACGGGGTGGCTCTCGTTGGGCGGCGCTGGCATTTTGTAGGTTAGAGGACCCCGCGCTCTGCCCCACAGAACACAGCACAGCAAACACAACAGTGTGCCGCCCCAACTTCCCACAAGGAAAACAGTGTCGTAAGCATTATGACATTGGTCAAGCTCACACCTAAGAAGTCAGCTGGTTCCCTCGAAAAAAGACATGTAGTCTGTCCATCAAATGTTCTGTTTGATTTTTTCCTAAACCAAGGAGGGTTGACTCTACTGCCTCCTTATCCGCAGATGCGCCTTCCCAACGCACCGCTCGCTCACCGCGACCCGAGCCCTGGAATCCCAGCGTCCCAGCCTGGCCCCCGAGCCTTGATCGGGGAAACAAACTTCAATGTCCTTTTCAGCCTGTCAGCTATTTTAGGGGGAAATTACTCAGTGTGCGCATCTAGCTGTGAGCGGACGGTTGCCAGGTTTCCCTGAACCACAACCTGACGTGAAAGGTAGAGCGTGGGCCGCAGAAAAGGAGAGTACAGTGATAAAAAAATAAATAAAAAGAGGTCCCAGGGCGGGGTGCGTGGCCGCCTGCAGCTGCCTGCGTCAGCAGGGAGCATCACAGAGCCTCCCCCCGCCCCCCCGGGAGGCGTGACACGCTGTCGAGTCCGCTCCTAGCCCCTGGGGCCCCCGGAGCCAGGGCCGTGCAGGGCACGCTGCCCTCTGCAGCCCTGTCGGGCTCCTGCCGGTCCCGCCCACGGGCCTCGTTCGCGGAGCCACC